ATCTTTTAACTGAGCCCTAGAATCCTGTACTACCTTTTAAATAAGGTAAGAGCCTAGTAGTCTGAGGGTTTTAAATGCAAATAAATATTCTGCATGGTACATTTCTCTCAGGTGTTTTCACATTCTTCTTTTCTCTTACCAGCCTGACTTTGATATATGCATAGCATTAATTCAACTTAAATTTCTATGGCAAGCTTGAAAATAATTTAAAAAATTAAAGCTTTATGTAGGAACAGGAAGCAGTTAGTAGTGGGATTTTATTTTTGGAGGATTAGACTGGGGGGTGCAGGGTGTGGGGAGAAATTGCTTTCTGTGTGTCAGATGAATGAGTTATAGGAAATGATAGCTCAGCCAGCAGCTTGGTGCTTGCCAATGAGTCAGCAGTGATTCTGTCCTCAGCTTAGATGCTAGGTCACAGCTGGGAGAGACACTTTTCCTGGTGAGGGACCCTCCCAGCCCTGCTTGCTGGGGCATTGAATATCTGCCTACTTGATGAGAAACACTTAGCTCCTTATCCTGGTGTAGCAAGAGTCACAGAACTACCTTCTTGCTTCCATGTAGATATTCCCAAGTTTCTTTAGAATTTAGAGTAATGATGTTTCTAATGCCCCCCCCCCCCGATGCTCAGCAGGAAGATCCAGTGATTTTCATGAGGAAGACTATGTTTAGGACTGGTGTCATAGCACATTGTTGTTAGTATGGCAACATTTAATGTTTTAATAATATTTCTACTTTCAAGAGGTCTTTCTAAATGAATGGTAATACACTGAGGGGAAGGGAAATGGGAGGATGATATGTCAGAAATGGTCGACTTAAGGTCACCTTTTTACTACAGTTAAGCATATCTACATGTGACAGAACCCAATCATCTTGGCGGTTGGGTTAAGATGATGGGATTATTATTTGCTTTCCTTTCCAGATTTGATAAATATGCTCAAGAGTTGAGACTTATTCTAAACAGTCCTTTAGTGTTTTAAAATAGCTGTCCATTGTTTTTAAAAGAGTAAAAGTAACTCACCAGATCGTGTTTTAGGACCACTTATACCCAGCTCCATATTTCTTTGATCTTCTGCAGCAGGCGTTCCTAGTCCTCCTCACTTTCAGCAAGCAAGGTTGTGTCATCTGCCTAATGCAAGTTGTTGATTAGTGTTCTTCCAATCCTGATGCCACATTCCTCTTCATGGAGTCCAATATCGTGAATGATTTGTTCAGGAAACAGATTGAATAAGTATGGAGAAAGGCTGTAACCCTGACACACAACTTCCTGATTTAAAACCATGAAGTGTTCCCTTGCTCTGTTTGGACTACTTGGTCTAGGTGTAGGTTTCATATGAGCATAATGAAATATTCTGGGATTCCCATCCTTTTCAGTGTTTGTTATAATCCACACAGTCAAATGGTTTTCCACAGTCAATAAAACACAAATAGACGTTCTTCTAGTACTCTGCTTTCACCCAGGACCCATCTGATATCATCAATGATATCCCTGATTCCATGGCCTCTTCTAAACCTACCTTTAATTTCTGGCAGTTCTCTGTCAATGAACTGTTCTAGCCAGTTTTGGATACTCTTCAGCAGTATTTTGTTTGCATGTGATATTCCTGATATTGTTTAATTTCCACATTTTGTTGTATAGCCCTTCTTGGGAATGGGCACAAATATGAATCTGTTCTAAACAGTTGGCCAAGCAATTGTCCTCCAGCGCTACATCTGTTCTTTGAAACATGTCAGTTGGTTTCCCATCAATTCCTGGAACCCAACTTTTTGCCAGTGGCTCTTGTTCATATGGTACTTCCTGAAATTTTTCTGTATCAACCAATTCTTTTTGGTTTCTTTGTATGTATTCTATCTTCTTTTGATGCTTCCTGGATCATTCAAAATTTTGCCCATAGCACCTCTCCGTATTGCAACTGCAAGCTTGAATTTGTTTTCAGATCTTTCCATTTTCCAAATTCCAAGTGAGTTTCTTCCCTTGAATAACTACAGCTTTCAATATGGCTTGCATGTCGATATTAAAATAACAAAAATTTTCACCACTCGACCAATAAGCAACATCATGATAGTTGGAGAAAAAATTAATATTGTCAATGATTTCATCTTACTTGGATACCAATTTAACACCCTTTGTACCAGCAGCCAGGAGATCAGGAGATGTATTATATTGGGAAAGTTTGCTGTCAGGGACCTCTTCAAATTACTGAGTAGCCATGATGTTGGTTTGAAGACTAATGTGTGCTTGATTTGGGTCATGATCTTTTTAATCACTTGCCAATGCTTCTAGAGATGGACAATGAATAAGGATGACAGGAGAATAATTGATGCCTTTGAATTGTGTTGTTAGAGAAGAGCACTGAATATCCCTCAAGTCCCAAAAGAACAAACATATATCTTGGGAAAAGTGCAGCCAGAGCGCTCTTGGGAGGCAAGGATGGTGAAGCTTCTCATATATATTTTGGAAATATTGTTAGGAGAGGCTATTCCTTGGAAAGGGGCATCATGCTAGGAAAAATGGAGGGTCAATGAAAGAGAGGAAGACCTTCAATCAGAGATTGATATAGTGACTGCAGCAAGGGGCTCAAGTATGTCAGAGATGATGAGGTTGACACAAGATACACAGGGTTCAGATATATTGTGCATAGAATCTCTGTGAGGCATTCTCAGCTTGACTGCACCTAACAACACTAGCTAGCTCCTATTTAGATTTTAAAGGACAAACTATACCCAGTCTTCTCCAATAAGAAGGACATTGACAAGCACCAACAGTGTTCAGAATTCACTAGGTGAATTCCGTTCTTTTTTACCTCCTTAGAAAGGGGGTATTATTTACATTTTATAGATGAAAATACTAATACTTAGAAAGCTTAGAGAACCTGTCTTTACAAGTTGTTCAGCTAATAGTCGGTGGAGCTCAGTCCAAGCCCAAGTTAGACTAAATTCAAAACCCATATTCTCACCTGGTGTACAAACTGATATTGCCCCAGCTCCTACTCCATTAAGGTGGAGCAGTTGATACCGACTTCAAACACCAAACTCAACCCATTGCCGTTGCCTCAGAACTGACTCATATCTGACCCTTCAAGGGACTTTTAGAGGCTGTAAATCACACCGGAGATTGCCCATCCCTGAAGAGGAAATAGTGGATTCAAGCAGATTGTGGGTTGGCAGCAAAGCTTCCTACCTGTTAAGCCATTGGGGCTTCCTTGATACTGGATTAATCAGCCATTGTTGATGTGTACCATTGAGTTGGAACTGACCCATGGCTGACCCTCCAGTGGGGTGTCAGAGGCAGTAAATCATAAAAAAAGGAGATTGTCCATCCATTTCCCACAGAGTAGCTGCTGTGTTTGAAACCCATGTCTTTGGTATAGCAATGCAGCTTCTTACCACTGTCCGCTCCATACGAAGCTAGAATTATAAACCTCACAAGTTCTCAGCTTCTATTTTACTTAGAAATAAAAATAATTTGAGCATCACCCAGCGCAAATGTGAGTGCATGTGAGTGTTTGACACTAAATAGATTAAAGCTGCACACTAAGTGCCTGGCTGAGTGGCTGGACTTTCTAAATTTGAAGTGAGTCTCATGATTTCTCCTAAACTTCTCAGGATTATAAGACTAGGCATAAAGCTGAGCATTTTAATGTTCAATAAAATACCATCCTTTCCAGCTAAAAGTGGCATCTGGATTGAGAAAAGGGTGATATGTATTACACAGTGGAGTCCTCAAAGCTTCACAAAGAAATCCATCCCATAGGGCCACCAGAACACTTTTATTATTAAAAAAAATTGTTATCATAAAAAGAATTTGTAAAAATGGTGACCCTTATTTTTGTACACTTGCCACTATTGTTATATTTGTGAAAATTTATTGAGGTACAGTTGACATAAGAATAAACACACATATTTGATAAAATTCACCTACATAGACTGCAAAACCATCACCTTAGTAAAGAGTGTGAACAAATTCCTCACCCTCTCCCCACAAAATACTGTACAATATTATATTTTTAAAGGGGAAAAAATACCTCAATCATTTAACTTTATCACTTATGATGAAAAGAGCTTGGGTGGGGACACAGGTGATGGAAGCTCAGACTCCACGCTTGCCCTAAGTGACTCTGTGAAATTCAGTGAGTCTCTTAATTTCTCTGGCCCTTAGTTTTCTCATCTGAAAAATGAGGAGGTTGGGCTAGATGATCCCTAAGGCCCCCTACAGCTCTAAAGTTCAATAAAGCTAAGAAGCTGGGCCTACTTAGGGTATTGGTTTGTGTCCAAATGTTATTACGTGACAATTTAGATGTCCCCAGTGGCCCGGTATCAGCTGTGCTGCCTCGCTCCTGCCCTGCTTGGGGTGATTGGTCATCATGAAATCATTTCATTTCTTTTAATTCCCTTTCACCTTGATTGAAGGTCATCCATGCCATTGCCTCCATGTTGGGCTTTCTAAATTTAGGGAACTACTAAGCTTAAGCATTGAGGGCTAAGGTTTGATTATATGGAGCATTTTGCGCTAGCTTAAACAATGCATTGATGAATGGGCACAAGGGCCATCAGCCCTCTGAATGTTTGTGAGGCAGCTTAAGTATTTTATGGCGAAGGGGAGAACAAGCAGCCTTGGGTGCATTTCAGGCTTGAGGGGAAGGAAAGAAGGTTGACGTTTAATTAATATTCAGATCCCAACTTTGTCTATTTTCTTGCCAAGTCAGCAGCCCTCATTTCTGTTTTTGGTTCTGGTGATTTTGCTGTGGTGACATACATAGTTACCTCAAAGATGCTTGCAAATTTGCCTAAAAATGCAATATGCTCACCAGATGCTCTCATCAGGCCTGGAATGTGGCCATCTTGTGCCTGTGCTTTCAGGGAGAGATACCTCATCCACCACTGCCAGTGCTCCCAGTGGGAGGGGGAGTGGGGAGCTGGGGGTGAAAATGGAGCTGATTATAAATGGGAACCAAGCTTTATTTCGGCATATGGATCTTCCCCTGGTGCTTTGTGTTTTCCAGGAAGCTCCCTGAGATTTCTGAGGAGGGGCTGCTCTGAGTTCACCTTGACCCACCATGAAGTTCCTTCTACTTTGTGCCTACATGCTGCTACTTATGATTCCCCAGCTGAGGGCGGTCAGCTTTCCAGAAGATGACGAACCCCTTAACACCGTTGACTACCATTGTAAGTAGTCCAAGGGATAGTCGTCTTTTTTCCAAGGAGCTTGTAGGATTTTGATTCCTCTTTTAAAGGGTGGGCATGGGTTGTTTTGTTGTTTGTTTGTGGGATTTTTTATGTGTCGAAAAAGTGTCTCACTTAATCTGTAATAATTTCCTAGTATTTGCAAGAAAACAAGATAGTTTTGTAGGAAGCTTTTCTAAAGCATCCCATCCATAAGTTATGTGGCTCCAATTAAAAGACAAAAGACCCTTTGCCCACATTCACTGTCTTTGTATTCATCTATATTCAAGACCTTAAGAGAAAAATTTAGTTAAAACCTTTCTACAACTAGTATATACAGCTAATCAATACTGTCTATTGATTCTTCAGCTCCATAATCCTGACTGATAGTTTAGCCCGTTTTTACTTGCAGATTCAAGGCAATATCCGGTTTTTAGAGGACGCCCTTCAGGCAATGATTCGCAGCACAGACTGGACTTTCAGCTGATGTTGAAAATTCGAGACACACTTTATATTGCTGGCAGGTAATTTTCCTCTCATTGGTTTATTAGATTAAAATTCTTTTCTCTTGTGGTGCTTGCATTAATGTGTCTAGTTCATGAAAAACTAATATGTGATTGTGATCAAAAATTGCAAGTAGCCAAAAATATTCGCCGAGAAAAATCAGTGTTGTGTACCGGGAACGAAATACAGAGCTAAAGCCTTCAGCAGTGCTATTTTATTACTGCCATCAAGAAATCATAAACCATTCTTTTTTTTCCGTTCCTACATCAGCAGGGGAGGAGGGAAATCTTTCATTATTCTTTTTTAACTTAGAATTATTCAAGCAAATATTGGAAGTATGTCTATGCTAATATCAAGTAGCAGTTTGACCTATGCCTGGAGAGAAGAGCTTTCTTTGATTCCTAAGTATAGTGATATATAAAAAAGCAACTCACTAATGAAAAAGCACCCTTTGTTGACTTTGTGTGAGACAGAGAAAATCCAGATCTCCAAAACACAATAAAGGCAGATCTGTGAAAGTAAAATAAGAAGCAGCTTAATGTTTTTATGCATTCACGTGGTATGACTTATTGCCTTGTTTCCAACAGGGATCAAGTTTATACAGTGAACTTAAATGAAATCCCCAAAACAGAAGTAATACCAAGCAAGGTGAGCAACTGTAGCTGTCAAGTTTATTCGTTGTCTCTCAGAATTTCAATGATGTTCTTCTCCCCTCAAGCAATTTTCATACTTAACAATGGAACTTTGATTTGTCTTTACTAATACAGAAACTGACGTGGCGGTCAAGACAGCAGGATCGGGAAAACTGTGCCATGAAAGGCAAACATAAGGTAAGTTCAGCAGATGTGTGGCCACACGATTGCATCTTGTTCTCGATTTAATCTCAGAGATCTAGATGGAATGCCCAATATTAATATAATTATTACTTTCTTTAGGATGAATGCCACAACTTTATTAAAGTATTTGTTCCAAGAAATGATGAGATGGTTTTTGTTTGTGGCACCAATGCATTTAATCCCATGTGTAGATACTATCGGGTAAGTGTATTTTATGTCGGTTTTTTTTAAGTCAACTTTTCTTGCTTCAGTTAAGCTATTGAATCTTTTCTGTTATAACCAAAAAATTTGTTTTATCTCTAATGCTTTGCAACAATAAAAATGATTATGCAAGTAGAATTTTAGTACAAATAAAGCCTCTGCCTTCAAACAAGCACATTAAACAGAAATGACAACAGTTATTTTCTTTTGTAGTTAAATACTTTAGAATATGATGGAGAAGAAATCAGTGGCCTGGCAAGATGCCCATTTGATGCCAAACAAACCAACGTTGCTCTCTTTGCTGGTAAGATCCTTAAAAGAATGGAAGTTATTGAAAGAACAAAAGAAATTTAAAGAAAAACAAAACACCAGCTCATAACTTATGTAAGGTGTGTGTTATAGATGTTTCAAAGACTACGTGACCAAAAGATATATGACCAAATTTTCAGAAGAGAAGAATTAAATCTGAAGCTAAGACAGTGCAAATTGTAAATATTCTGACAATCTCTTGTTAACTAGGCCAGCGATCCTGAGCAAATGGCTTAATTTTTTTGATGCTTGAAGTCTTCATCTGTAAAATTAGGTAACATGATGGGCCAATTTATCCTAGGTTTGTGATAAGCGTCAGGTATAGGTTTATTTATATACATAATAATAGCACAGGTGAAAGCTTTCCAAAGGGTATCACATGCTACCTAGAATCAAAGGATAATTATGGTTATTTTACCAAAATTATAACTTTTGTTTTAGATGGGAAACTGTATTCTGCCACAGTGGCTGACTTCCTGGCTAGTGATGCTGTTATTTATCGAAGCATGGGTGATGGATCTGCCCTTCGCACAATTAAATATGATTCCAAATGGATAAAAGGTACCTTTGAAGAGCAGTGGCATGGGAGGGCCAAGATAGAGGCGTGACTCAGGTGGGAACAGAAGCCAAGGACATCAGGAGGTTCAGAGCATGACTTTAATTGTTTATTTAATACAAGTACACGCTGTTTTTCTGTAGCCCACTCAAGAGGAGCTTTAAAGGGGAGTAGAGAAGCCAATATTCATGTGAAAGAATATGTTCATCCAAGATTTATCATGGGTGACTTAAAAAAGGAAGATTTAATCTCTGTGTGCCAATTTGTCTAGCTCTAAATGCATATAATACTCTTTGCTCATTCCCCTCTGCCTATCTGGGGACATGAACAGTGACAATTGATTAGCCCATAGCTGCTGAGTCATTTTGTTCTTTGGAGTCTAGAAATCAAAATTTTTTTAAAATTTTATTTTAAGTGAAAAGAGGTTTTCTTTCCTAGTTAAATAGGTTAATGAGTAAATCTGTTGAAACAAAGACCTCTTCTGTAGTTCACTTCCCTGCAGGGCTTTTTACAGTCCATTAGCTAGTATTAAAGGCAGTGGGGTCCCTGAAGCTTGAACACACCCATACTGGGACTCCCCAAAACTCATGGACATAATCTGAGTTCTCATTGGCTTGGTTGTAACGATGCGACATCTGTCAATCATGGCTAGCAGTTAGGGTCTTATGCTAATTGAATTATCCTTTAGGAATTAGATTGTTTTCCATTTCTCTTTCAGAACCACACTTTCTTCATGCCATAGAGTATGGAAATTATGTCTATTTCTTCTTTCGAGAAATTGCTGTAGAACATAATAATTTAGGCAAGGCAAGTATATATATACACACATCTACACCGCACTTGTATTTTGTGATTCTGCATGGCACTGAAATAATTTTGGTGCCAATTTGGCTGTTCCCTTGGTATTACCACCAGTAGTCCATTTGTTGCCTGTATAGACAAGTACAGAGAAGTGGGTAAGCTCTTTCTGAATGACCACTAAACCAGTTGAGCTAATTGCAGCTCATTAAGAACCCATGTGTGTGAGAGTCAAACTGTGTGCTTCGTGGCGTGTTCAAAGGCTGTGATCTTTCAGAAGTAGATTGCCAAGGTACCTCCTGGTGGGTGGACTCTATGCACCAACCTTGGATTAGCTGCTGAGGATGTTAACATTTTACCCATTCCTAGAAATGCATGAGAATTACTGCCGGAGAACCCAGCACCATGGGCAGAGTGCACAGGGCAGGACCTTGAGAAGGTTTCACCTTTCTCTCGCTGTAGAAAGTGCTCTGTACACACTCTTAAGCTATACATGCTTCTTTAATGCTTTAGAAATTCAACTCATGCATTATTCTCCTTCAGTGTAAAAAGGCAGGAGGGAAAATAGGGGGCCCCCCTTTCAGTTAAGAGCCAATTTTCAGGACAGTACTATTCGTTTACAATAGGAGGAGCAGCCAAGTTGGAGCCAAAGAAAAGAAATGGTTTCCTTTCACTAAGGCAGTAAGAGAGTTCAATTCTTGTAGAGTTTGTTTGGCAGAATAGGGAAATAGTCTTTTTTCCCTCACAGGTAAATCTCATTTGCATTTCTGCTGTATATATTGTCAGAAAGAGAGCTAGATTCCTTTGAACCAGATGTATCTTTAGCGTTTTATGTCCCATAAATAGTGGGGGGTTTTGTTACCATTTCATCTCCATGCTCATACCCCTATTGCTTTGCGTTTGTCCCTTGGGCAGGCTGTATATTCCCGCGTGGCCCGTATATGTAAAAATGACATGGGTGGCTCCCAGCGGGTCCTGGAAAAGCACTGGACTTCCTTTCTAAAGGCTCGGCTTAACTGTTCTGTGCCTGGAGATTCGTTCTTCTACTTTGATGTTCTGCAGTCTATTACAGACATAATACAAATCAATGGCATCCCCACTGTGGTTGGGGTGTTTACCACCCAGCTCAACAGGTGAGAACATATGCCTTGGACTTCAAAGAGTTCTATGCTTGCTTGTTTTAACCCAGAGCGAGCTCATTGGTCAAGTTCTCTTCCTGATGCTGTGTCTCCTCTTTCAGCATTCCCGGTTCTGCGGTCTGTGCCTTCAGCATGGATGACATCGAAAAAGTATTCAAAGGGCGGTTTAAAGAGCAGAAAACTCCAGATTCTGTTTGGACGGCAGTCCCCGAAGACAAAGTTCCAAAACCAAGGTAAAGAGAAAAGATGGAAAAGGTGTAGCTGTAACAGAATTCTGGGATCCTTGGAGGCATCCACCTTCAGGGGCAACTCATACACCCCCTTTTGAGAGCTCTTGTCAGGAAGTGGTGCCTCTGCAGCATCTTGGACAAGTTAGTAAACAGAATTCTAGCATAGTGCCCACAGCACCGAGAGTGTGAATGGGGCGGGACCCTTCAATTCAGGGAAGTACCACTTCTCTGGTCAAGAAGTTCCTTGAATGTATACTTATTAGATACAGTTTTGTGAGTAAACAAAACAAAATGGCCTATTGTTTTCCTTGCAGGCCTGGCTGTTGTGCAAAGCACGGCCTTGCTGAAGCTTATAAAACGTCCATCGATTTTCCTGATGAAACCCTGTCTTTCATCAAGTCCCACCCACTGATGGACTCTGCCGTTCCGCCCATCGCAGATGAGCCTTGGTTCACAAAGACACGAGTCAGGTGAGCCAGTGGAGGGCACAGCGGCCCACACCCCTTAGACGTGTTCTCATATCTTGTTCTTTCCTCTGATGTCACCTGTTTTCTCATAGGTACAGACTGACGGCCATTGCCATTGACCATTCCGCTGGGCCCTACCAGAACTACACAGTCATCTTTGTTGGCTCTGAAGCTGGCATGGTACTTAAAGTTTTGGCAAAGACCAGTCCTTTCTCTCTGAATGACAGCGTATTACTGGAAGAGATTGAAGCTTACAACCACGCAAAGTAGGTCTCTTATACGAGAATGCCCTTTAGAACTGCTCACAAATTTCCGGTGTGGATTTCATGTACTCATTTCTTTTCAGCCCCTTAGATTAGCAGTGGTTTAGCATACTTGTGTTTTGGTTTGGTTTTTTCCCCCCTAACTGAAATAAATCCTGGCTTTGCTGGTTTCCAAAACCTACTAGGGCAAGGACGGTGAGCAGTTGATGAGTCTAAAAATAATTCAGCCCTTGTTTTTCACCTGTGGAAAATGAGAACATTGTAGAAACGTGCCTCTTAACTTACTGATGCATTTTAGGATGTTTCAATACAATAGATGGTTGTTAGTTCACATGCAGACACAGAGAATGCACCTCTATTTAAAAATTTTCTTCCAACCACTGTTATAAAAGATTCTCGGGACCTTAAAACAAACAAGACACAAGTGAGAGAAATGAAGCTAAAGTATCTAAGAAGGACCCAGAAACATCTAGTGTGAGAGGATTTGAATACATTGAAACATTTATCTTTCTCTTTCAATAGTAAAACTTGACCATCTTAACTGGATTTTCTTTAGGTCATCAGAACATGAAAGCAATCTTAAGAAATCTTTTGTCTAGCCTGAAATGTAACGAACTATGACTGCAACAATGGGCTCCCTGCATGCCAGACAGAGTTCATGAGGTTGGAACAGGGTAGATAGGGCATGGTTGCAATCTGTTGTTCATTAGGTTATTATAAGTGGTAATCAACTTGCCTGCACCTCATAAACTATACACATGTCAGTATTGTTACTGAGTATATTCCTGAAAACCTTCTGACTTTCAGTCATTGTGGAAACTAAAGCAAACTAGTCTTATACAGTATGGCTTACAAAACTTAACGATACCTTCAAAATGTGTCCCACAAAATAGATGTAATGCTGAGAACGAGGAGGACAGAAAAGTCATCTCATTGCAGTTGGATAAAGATCACCATGCTCTGTACGTGGCCTTCTCCAGCTGTGTTATCCGGATACCTCTCAGTCGCTGTGAGCGCTATGGATCATGTAAAAAGTAAGCTGACATTTCCTTACCCACCCTGGATCTTGAAGTATGAAGACCTTTGATGATGATAAAATCCGAGTTACATCCTACTTGGCTTTACACAGGTCTTGTATTGCCTCTCGTGACCCGTATTGTGGCTGGTTAAGCCAGGGAGCCTGCGGGAGAGTGACCTCGGGGATGCTGTAAGTATCCTTACTGAGCTGGGATGAACTATTTCTTCAGGGGTATAAAATGAGAAATTTCAGAGAAGTTCCAATAGTGTGTGTGTAAAACTGGAGCTGTGAAAAAGGGAGATTGTAGACAGGCTAATAATACCTAGGGGAAATGGATGGAGGGAACAAAATAATTCTCTAATTCTCTTCTACTCTTAAATATTGTAGTTCCCTAACTTGTCACGGAAAGCCTCGTTTTCGCATGCTATGTTGAAATGTTTCTGTGTTTTTCTCTCTCTCTGCCCATTCTTGCTAATCAGTCTGTGTTCTTGATTCTGCTTTGGTTGTCATGTACGTTCCTATGAAGACTGTTAACTGAAGACTTGTTTGCTTTCCATAACCACAGCACTGGAGGATATGAGCAGGACCCAGAATACGGCAACACAGCCCACCTCGGGGACTGCCATGGTAAGATGGGGCCTTCATTCCCACCTCGAACTTCTTTTTGACCACATTTGCACGTGGACATTATTTTACAATCAGCCATTTTAGTGACTCGGGACACATACCACCTAGCATTTAACTTAAACTTCGCAAAAGTTGAGCTCTTTGGTCATGGGGATACTTTAAAGAAAAATCTTTCTTTTATATTTTTTTTTATCACCATTTAAAATCTTGTAGGAAATAACAAGAACAGTAGTCTAACCAGTAGGTTAATCTTTTTAGTTTAAATCCTTTTTTTTTTTCTTCCATTTTTTTAGTTGTTTGGAAATTTAGAAAATTTTTGCTTTCTTTTGGTTACTTTTTACTGATTCCTTGTTCCTTTAATTCTTTTAGAAATTTTGCCTACTTCAACTACACCAGATTACAAAATATTTGGAGGTCCAACATCTGGTTAGTTTTTTTTTCATTTTTTTGAATTAACAACCTTTTCTTTCCTTCAGTTTGGCATTTTCAGCCCCTTCTCCCCTCCTTTTGCGCAGTTTGGCAGCCCTCCATTTTTCCGCTTGGACTCATCAGCCCACTGATGGTACCGAAAGACTTTTTCTTACTCAACACCTCACCTCTCTGTAGCATGTTAACAGTCCATCATTGACTGAGACACATTCTGTAAAAGAAACCAAACCGATTAACCTAGCTCGCATTCCAGCTGCACGCACATCCACCCTAGCTTTTTTCTCTCTCACCTCCTGCATTGTGAATGTTCTCTCCAGCCATCTCTATTTAATGGATGGCAGAATTTCATTATTTCCCCCTTCTCTCCTTACCCTTCCTAAGACCTCGTAACCAAATACACATTTCCAAAAAAAATGTGTATTTACCAGTTTTAGTGCCTTTTTTTTTTTTTTTTTTGTGGAATGGTGTGTGGTGATCATGGGAATCTCTGAATGTCGTGGTCTCAGTGGCATGAAGAAGGCTTCGTGGAAATGAAGCTGGTTTGTGATACATTAAGATATTCAGTGGGCCCAACCCTCCATTGGTTCCCAACTGTGAAACCTTCATCTGTGACCACTTCACCAGTCTGAATCTGCATCCCTGAGGTTTTAGCCAAACAGTATATGCTTCCATTCTGAAGGCTGAAATTTGTAATATTCACCCATGGCTGCCCAGTTATCACTGATACAGAGCAACCCTCTGTTGTGTTTCTGAGGCTATAAATCTTTAGGGGAGGAAGCTGCCTATCTTTCTCCTCCAAATCTACAAATAGTAGATTGTCTTTGGGTTAACATCACAACTCAGTGCCACCATAACACCCTGAAAATTTTTAATAGATAAGTTAAGAACAATTTGAGTTCTACTACCAAGTAGAACCTACTTCCAAGTCTTACCAGCACATTTTGGGGATGTGAGGGAGGGATGGCATATCTTACCTGTCAAGCATCCTTGTTCAGCTTGTAAATGCCATTTGTGTTGCATGAATTGCTGCTCATTCTCTGGAATGAGAGTCTTCAGGCATTTTGGAAGACCTGGACAGGGTCCCTCCCTTCTTTGGTGTTTTCCCATCATGACAGGACCTTACTGAAGAGGCTTGTCTACAAATAAGTGAGGGGCATGTAGCAAATAAAGCAGGGCCATGATTTAGGCTTATCTGGTCCAAATGCAAGTGCTTTTGTTGAGGCTTGCCCAGGTGTTTTCTCATTATTTAACATTGCCGCTTTCCCAGTGAAAGATACACAGTATCTAATCATCTATTAAAATACTTCCCAAAAATACACACAGTAAGAAATGAAATGATATTGTCTCATAAGAGGATGAGAAAATAGCCAGTTAATCTGGGTTGGGATTTCATTCTCCTTTCCAAGAGTACCCTCAATGGCCATATGGGATTCAGTAAGAGTGTTCTGAAGATTTCTTTGTTTATTGGTTTTCTTTCTAATTTTCAGATCTACTTAATGTGTTTTCATTCCCAAATTTTAGTTTTTGTTCTTCCTTTGGAAGAAAGGGCTTTGGTGTAATCTCTTCAGATGTGTGTGTGTAAAATCCTAGAACAGGCTTCTCTCAATACTGAGTTAAACTTTATGTGTAAAAAAAAAAAAAGCAACAGACCACTTAGAAGACTCTGCCAACACTACCTGTGTTAATAAAAATCTGTTTGCCACCACAGACATGGAGGTATCTTCGTCTTCTGTTACCACAATGGCAAGTATCCCAGAAATTACACCTAAAGTGATTGATTCCTGGAAGCCTAAACTGACGAGCTCCCGGAAATTTGTAGTTCAAGATGACCCAAATACTTCTGATTTTACTGATCCTTTATCAGGTATCCCAAAGGGTAAGGCCTTACCAGGGAACTCATCGCCAACTGAGTGGAAACCTGATTCAGAATTTGCATGAGGAGTCAATGGACTCAGGTTCCTCTGAACCTGATGATGAACATAAAACGGAGGTGCCAGTGATGTGACCTGAACTTCCAGTGACCCCACTGAGGAGTCTGGGAGGCGCAAGGGCCTCAGCAACGTCAATACACCAAACTCATTGACTGCAAATATCCAGATTATTGTCTGCTACCGGATGTGTCACTAGGAGGCTTTCTCTGCCTTCTTAGCCTCACTTCAGAATGACATAAGAAAAGGGAATGTGAGGTGCTAGGTTGCTTGAATGCCACTAGCAGTGAGTCACGGCAGAGTATGTGTTCATCACTATCATTTTCAGCAGTTAATAGGTGCAGTTATAAAATAGCTGCCTCTTAAATGAGCTTATCAGGTCCATTATGCCAAGGAAAAAAGTCATAATCAATTCTTCATTGCTTACTGAGCTGTGATATCAGGTTTCCAGTCAGCGTTTGACAGTACATTGTCATTTATGATTTACATCTGTTGATTTTGATTTTACATGTTTTGTTATAAACCATTTTATAATCCTTCCCCCCCTTTCTGCTTTGTTTTCTTTTGTAATCATTTGTTTCTACGTATCTTTAATTGTCTTTTCACAATGCCACTGAAATCCATAACCCTAAGCATTTCTTACAAACAACTAGTGTTTAAAGGCCTTAGTTACTAACTGAAATCAACAGGATCTTCAAAAGCACTGCCTTTTCTTGCTCTGGGCTAGTTGCGTCTATTGCATGTAACAGACTTGGATACCTCTTAAACTAACATTTCTTTGATAGACTGTTAGATGTCTGTGGTTGCATTAAAAGTTCCAATACTTTCAAACTAATTCGCTCTTCTTTTTCTAGGTCTAAGTTAAATAATTCTCAAATATCTCAAGAATGATATTTCCTAACTAACACATAGTGTGTTTCTTTAGACTATGTGGATATCGTACATAGCAGGTGATTCAAGGATGTGTCACTGCAAGATGTAATTTCTTAAAATTACCAAAGCAAATAAGAGTCTGTATTTGTAGCTAGCATGAACCAAGCAGATGCTTTTAGTGTGTGAACAAATTATATGTCTTTTAAAATTATTCTGCTGCAGATAGCATGACTGTGTTAGCATAATTGTTTTAGCATACTATGTATTTGTGACAATGCGTACATTTCCCTGACCCCAGTTGTCCCTTAATACTTACTCTTGAATTTTGAGAAGCTGAAGAAACAGGCTATTCCTCGAGTTTAAAATTGGCTTTTTAGAAAATAGGTACTTTCTAATGGTTAAGTTGAATGGGATTTCTAATAATATGTAAAAACTAAGACGTATCAGGGAAAAGACTCAAGGCAAATAGATATCAGGGAGATTCCAGTTTTCTTGGAATCTGTAGCAAAAACATGTCTTTATGGGGATCCTATTGGAATGAAAGGAAAAAATATAGAAGTTGGAAGCCTCCTTGGCCCTCCCAGCATAGGGGCCGTGTAAACGGAAGCTTTGTGCAGATGAAGGTTGTTTTAAGCTGTCACTCGCCTCAGACTTTTTCCTTTGTGTCTGTTGCAGGTGTACGATGGGAAGTCCAGTCTGGGGAGTCCAACCAGATGGTGCACATGAATGTCCTCATCACCTGCGTCTTTGCCGCTTTTGTTTTGGGGGCATTCATTGCAGGCGTGGCAGTATACTGCTATCGTGACATGTATGTGCGGAAATCCAGGAAGATCCATAAGGACGCAGAATCTGCCCAGTCGTGCACAGACTCCAGTGGAAGTTTTGCCAAGCTGAATGGTCTCTTCGACAGTCCAGTTAAGGAATATCAACAGAATATTGATTCTCCTAAACTGTATAGTAACCTGCTGACCAGTCGGAAAGAGCTCCCGCCCAATGGCGACACTAAATCCATGGTAATGGACCACCGAGGCCAACCGCCTGAGCTGGCTGCCCTGCCCACACCCGAGTCCACTCCAGTGCTGCACCAGAAGACCATCCAGGCCATGAAGAGCCACTCAGACAAGGCTCACGGCCACGGAGCATCCAGGAAGGAAACCTCCCAGTTTTTCCCTTCCAGCCCTCCGCCCCACTCCCCATTAAGTCACGGGCACATCCCCAGTGCCATTGTTCTCCCTAATGCTACTCATGACTACAACACATCTTTCTCAAACTCCAATGCTCACAAAGCAGAAAAGAAGCTCCAAAACGTTGACCACCCTCTTCCCAAGTCGTCCAGCAAAAGGGATCACCGCCGTTCTGTGGATTCCAGAAATACCCTCAATGATCTCCTAAAGCATCTAAATGACCCCAATAGTAACCCCAAAGCCATCATGGGAGACATCCAAATGGCCCACCAGACCCTAATGCTGGATCCTGTGGGAACCATGTCTGAGGTCCCACCAAAGGTCCCCAACAGGGAGGCATCACTGTACTCTCCTCCTTCAACTCTCCCCAGAAATAGTCCAACCAAGCGAGTGGACGTCCCCACCACTCCTGGAGTCCCAATGACTTCTCTGGAAAGACAAAGGGGCTATCACAAAAATTCCTCACAGAGGCACTCTATATCTGCCATGCCTAAAAACATAAACTCACCAAATGGTGTTTTGTTATCCAGACAGCCTAGTATTAACCGTGGAGCATACATGCCCACCCCGACAGGGGCGAAGGTGGACTTTATTCAGGGAACACCAGTGAGCGTTCACCTGCAACCTTCCCTCTCCAGACAAAGCAGTTATACCAGTAATGGCACCCTCCCCAGGACGGGACTAAAGAGGACACCGTCCTTAAAACCTGATGTGCCACCAAAGCCTTCATTTGTTCCTCAAACCACATCGGTCAGACCACTGAACAAATACACTTACTAGTCCTCAAGTGTGCTATTCCCATGTGGCTTTCTCCTGTACATGTTGTTGAGAGAATTATGTTGTAAGGGAACCTTAAGAGAAGACACTCACTTATATTTTAAAGAGAATCGAGTGGCCAAAGAAACTCTTTCTAACTTTGGCAACATCAGAACTTGCCACATGTAGCTACTGCAGCAAGGCTTCTGAGTACTTGCCCCAAGACAAAGGAAGGTGCTGGTCATTCTATTTCTTCTGTTTGAAGCTAAAGAGATGGGTAGCTCTAAGAGGCTCCCTTGCCAGTATAAAGAGCTGATACAGTACTCGGAAGAATCTGTAAGCAAATACTTGAAAATGGGTTCAATTTAGACTGCCATTCTGTGTGGTCTTCCCATTAAATGTGAACATTTTAAAATGTATGCATTCACCTTGCCTCTTGCACAAATGTCAGAAACAAAAAAACAAAAAAGATGGTTATGTCTCAAAGAAACACGAACTTGTAGATTACCAAGCAATTTGCTAAAAATTGTCTTTGACCCAAACTGTAGCTTTTTTTTTTTTTTATTTCATGTGTGGCATCTTTTTTCCCCATGCCACCAACAGAGTTGTGAGTGTGTATGCAGTGTGTGCGTGCGTGTTCTGTACCCACTAGGATGTGTGTATGTGTCCATTGCATCTTGTGCTATGGAGTTGTTTACATTAAGCATGATTGAACAAGAGACAATAGCTTCTTCCCACTGCAGTCCATTGGGCTTAGCTTCGAGAACAAAATAAGGTTCATGTGATCATCAAAATTATAAACTTGATGTACATGGTACCAATGCCAGAATGTAAGAGTTCAAAGTAATTTTGTGCTGCTATCCATTCAAACTTCTATTACAGTCTTGCCAGCTTAAGGAGTTAAAGATGTTAAAAGGTATCCTTGATTTATCCACCACTTTTTCATAGTAAAGTTTACCAGACCACCACAGATCCAAGTCTGAGTCACTCTATTTAACCTTGGCTAAATAATAAGTAAACCTTTAAATAATAAGGTTTTGTTTTGTGTTCAGTTTTCCCCATGTAGTAAAATTTTTCCTCCTTTAATTCCTCCTACCCCAAGAGTCAAGCAAACAAAATGAAAAGCTAAACCTGAACAAAATTATAATTGGTACAGCAGAAATAGTCCATGAAACTATCAATGGTGCAATCATTGTTGTCTATGTTGTGTTATGTGAGAATTTTCTCCTGAGTCATGCAGGTAATGACAATATATTGTAAATATTCCATGTGAGTTTACCTGAATCTGTGCATTTTGTGCCTTACTCATGAGAATGATAGAAGTACTAAAATATGTCCCGTGTTTTCAGTATAGCACATCATTTACCGAGTGCCAGTTGTAAATGTTTTTCAACCAGCACCTGAAAAAAGACTAAAAAAAATCTTTAAAAAAGCAATCTTGAGCAATTAATAGTAACACAATCCACCTGAATAGCAGCATTACGTTCTTTGCCACGATCAACATTCCACTCCTGCTTTCCTAGGGATGAGACAGTGATAATGTGAAGTCAAATGAGGTTTCCCAGGCAATGTGACACCTGCTGAAAACCATATAGAGTCATTTACATGTAGTTTTGAAGAAACCGCTTATGGTTGATGATGTGCAACCCAGAAGACTGTTTCAGTTAATATGCTGCACACCACACAATTGGTTATTGAACTTAATGTAGGAAGTACCAAGGCAGAGGCATGCCCCTGATCTATCCAGACAAGTAAATGCAACTGATTGCTGCTGATAAACCTGATGGTATACATTACTTGGGGGAGGACGGTTTGCTGAAGACCAGAGCATTTATTTATATAGTATGTAAAACACTGATGTGATTATTCATTTTATTTGAAAATATTTGACAGATAACATGATTCCCTGAGATCTCTGGGAGTTCAAAAGCGAAACCTGAGGGTTTTGGGGGTTTTTTTTTGTGGTTTTTTTTAAAAAGCACTTCAGCTTTGCAACTAAAAAGTTACAGATTAGTAATAAATTAAACCAACCAACAGTAAACACTACTCAGTCCACCAACTACAAACCTGTGTCTGAATTCACTTTACCAATATTAATCCCAGCGTGTGTAAAACAGAACAGGAGTTCTGTGTGACCCCCATAACATTTTGTAACATTGTGCTTCCTTGTAGTTTGTAATGTGAGTTCTATCAGTATTTATGTTGAAATTTCTAACATTAGTCTCTATCCTGTTAATTTAATTTTTAAATGCTTTATCCATTTGTGCAAAGGTAAACACAGATTGTATCTTTTTTAATGGTACGGCATAAAAAGTAACCCTAAAGTGAAGTGGCTCTATACTGTTTTATAGAGTACTTTAACATGTATAGATATCTTGTAAACTTGTATTGTGGATGTGTAAATAATATGTACTTTGGGTTTTTAACACCGCATGTAAAGTCAAAATAAAATATTCAAGTCATTATGCCCTGCCTCTTGATATTGAAAAGGCTTACAACCAGTCATATTTCTTCAATCTTTCAAACCAATTCCAATGTTTCTTTTTAAATGTACTTGAATATTCTCCAGAATATTCTTCTTGTAATATTTTACTACCCACCCATGGTTACACAATTGCTTCCTTTTGGTGGTGGTTGTGCACTTTTGAGTCAGAAGTGACCCATAGCTGACCCTCCAGTGGGTTTTCAGAGTCTGGAAGTGGTGAGGACTTGCTCCCTATCTTTCTCCTGCGGAGAAGCTGGTGGACTTGAACACCTTCGGGTTGGCGTGCAACTCCTTGCCACTAAGGTAACAGCCCTCTTTTATCTTCAGAAAGTTAATACCAACGGAATAACCCACCACTATTGAGTTCCAACTCACAGCAGCCGCATGGGACAAAGAACTGCTCATAGGGTTTCCAAAGCCATAAATCTTACACTAGCTGATTGTTTCATCTTTCACCCACAGAGAGGTTGGTGGGTTGGAATCACACACTGTTTGCTTCACAGTCGCATGTCTTAACCATTGGGCTACCAGGGCTGCTTATAGCGATGATTAGAACTCCTGAAAACATGAGCAGTTATTTAAAAAGCTATGTGAACTTTACTGCAGCAACAATAAAAGGTGTCAGGCAAATTCACTCGTGTTTCTCCTTGTCCACATATTTAACTCAACAGAGATTTTCAAATTCATGATTCATATTCTTATAGGAGTTGTTGATCTGTTTTTTTAATGTAATTAAGTCTAAAATTACAATTAACAAACTATGAACATCTCTCACCACTTGATATATTTTTCAATTCCATTGTTTGGGGTAGAATGTAGTAGAGGATATAATCCAAAAATTTAAAAAATGGGCGGTAGAAGTACAATTTCTTTTGGATCCTTGTCCAGTGTGCACTTAAATAATCAGGGACAGCTACTGTTGCCTCTTTCTGATGTTGAAATTGGTGATACACTCCTGAGAGAGATAGAAGGAATGTTTCAGCTGCTTGTGGCCAACTCTTGCCTCTGACTCCTCTGTGGCCATGTTTTCTCAGAGTCCAGCAACCCCTTTCTAGGAGAGTAGATTGCTATCTCCCTGATCGTCACCTGCTTTCTGTCCTGGTGTCACCGTTTTGATGTTAATTTAATGGTTTCAAGGTTCCTTTATCATTCCTATCATAGCACATGACAGTCAAGAAATAGGAGGAAGAGTTTGCAGGAATCCTTTTGCGAGCAGTAAAGATCGGTTCAAGGCCTATCTGTCCCTTGTTCCAGCTGGCAATACTATATGCACTAGTCATAGAGTCAACCCTTAGTCTTCTAAAGCCCCCACCATGACTGGAGGTGTGAGAAGGGAGAGGGTAGAAGATCTCTCCCATCACACTGATTTCCAGAGGCCAAATTGTATCTCTTAAGAGCTTTGACAAATGAATAAAGAGACCATTAATTAGACAAACATATGTTCAACCTTGCTTCTTCTTGGACTTATTTAGTATTTCAGTTGCATTTGGATCATGTAGGTCTAGTAAAGGGAGCTCTGGTGGCCTAGTGGGTAAGAAGTTGTGCTGTCAACCCAAAGGCAAACAGTTCCCATCTACCAGCTGCTCTATGGGAAAAAGATGGGCATGTGATTCTCCTCCCATGTGATTTGCAGCCTCTGAAAACCCATTGGAAGGTCAACTAGTAGTTATGACTTGATAGCACATGGTAATAGATCTACTATCCCCCCCCCCCCCCCCGCCGTTGTGAACCATCGAGTCGGATCCAATTGACACAGGAGATTTTCCCTCCTTTTCCAGCAGAGCATCTGGTAGATTTGAACCATGTACCTTCAGGATTGCAACACAGCTTCTTGCCATGAGGCCACCAGAACTCACCTAAAGCTACTACATTAACTCGTTGGAAAATTTATGAGCTTTCCTGGGTTTAGCGATTTGGTTTTTCCTTTTCAAAAGTATGTTTCTCTTACCCAATTATAAAAGTTCTTGATCTTTTATAATTATCAATGCCTTTAAAAGTTTAAGGAGGGTAATAGACAATATCTAACAACAATACTTTCAGAGGATTTATATATATCCCTAAAGCTCATCTATTAATCTTTCAGATAAGAAACCCACACTTGAGTATTTGTACTTGATGTTTGTATTCCATTTGAGAGAAGTGGGGTCAGACAAATAGAATTTTTCAAAGAGATAACATCATATAACCATAAAGTAAAGGCATACATCAATTGAATTAACCAAAGCTCCTATGCCATGGATCTGGAAATCCAATTTACTAGGAATTTAGGTTACTATGGCTACTGAAACCAACTGCTGTGAAGTCAAGCTCCTATAGACTCTCCATCAGGTTTCCAAGGATGTAAATCCTTATGGGAGGAGATTGCCTTTCTTCCACAGATTAACTGATGGATTTGAATCGCCAAACTTTCTTCTGTTAGAAACCCGACACTATGCCAACTGGACTGTACATTTAGCCTTCTATAGATAAGCATAATTTTTAAACTAGATAAGATACTTGAAATCTGGTATAAGTTAAGTAGGGCATCTCCTGTACAAGGTGGCGAATAGTGGCTTAGGTTCTGGCTTGAAACTAGGAGGACTTAGCTTTATGCCATCCGACAGAGGCCACCGTTTTCTAGTCCTCAAGAATTCAGTCTTTCCATTGTCCTTTTCAGAGGAAGGAAAAACCCAAGGTGTTCAAGGCAGCTCTGTGTCAGTCTAAGGAGGAGAGTTCCACTCCTGACTCCTGTGCTCCTCAGTTGACTTTGGGATACTTTCTCAAACTTGATAGTCTCATTTGTGAAAGAAGATGCTTTGCCATTCATATTTGTGATGCTTCTGTGGTCTAGGTCAACTCCATAATTCCACAACTTATTTTTTTTTATTTTTTTCCCCACAACTTATTTTATGAAAACCGTATTTAAATATTGCTATTTTAATGGCTCTGTAGGCTTTTCGTGAGTGTGTGAGGAATGTTCCCTATTAAATGTGAGATATATGTGAGATTCACAATAAAATAAGGAACGCTAAACAATGCACTTTAAGCCACTTAGCTTGGAATGATATTTGATGTTTGTCCTTTCTGCATTAATAACATGTAAAACATTTGCATCTCTGCCAATATTACATTCTTTATTAAAAAGAAATTATACCATAAACAAGACTGAACCTATAATAAAATCAATTTTTAATTAACAGTGCAAGGGACGGAATGTCCTAAGCCCTCCGACCATGAATCAACTAAAATTCATATCTAAAGGAAAATAACATGTTTAGTGTCCTGTTTCTGTGATGTACTATTGTAATTACGTATTAGATATCTAGCTCTTGGTTGATAAGAATTAACTCTCTTTGTAACACATAACTAGCATGCATATCTTGAACTTTGTGCTGAGTTGGGGTGAATCAAAGTATGAAGAGAAATTGTTTTATTTTAGGTGTCATCACTCTGCTATAGCTCGTAACAATGCTGTTAAAAACATCAAAACCCTGACCTCTCCTGTGCCATCCACATCTATGGCACCATGCTCCAGCCCACTTTCGCTGACACTCTATCAGTCTCTCTCTTTAGGGTCTTCTTTTCTTTCTCTGACCTTCCACCTTTCCAAGCATGATGATGTCTTTTCCTAAGAGCTAGCAACTTTTCCTAATGTTACATGTCTTTTGAGTTCTTGATTGCTACTCTCACTCAATGAAAATAGAGTGCTTGTTCAGTGTGTACTATTTTTAATGATTTCTCTTAACCTACTCAATGATGATGTAAATTTTGACATTTTAATAGATGTACCAGTGTGTATAAACTCTATTCCTTGGAGCTTTTTGTGCTAATGAAACAGTTCTATGTCTGTAATGGCCAAAATGGCAGCTACTAGCATGTACGGCTACACACACTTTTGTGTAACTAGTGCCACAGGTATGGGATTGGGCAGTGCGATGATATAGTCATTAGAGTCAAGTTGTTGCTTTGAATGCAACAGCCATGGGATATTTGACTCAGATTAAAGATGTTGTGCCATCAAGTCAACTACAAACCAATAGTGATTCTAAGAACAACAGTTCTGAACCTTGCCCTAGCCTGTACCATCCTAAGGATGGCAACAAGCTGGGTCATCCTCACCGTCTCTGGTCTGCATGAGCCCATTGTTACAGTCACTGAGTCAATCCTTCTTCTTGAGGGTCTTCCTTTCATTCTTGATCTCTTCACCGTTTCCAGCATGATGTCTTTTTTCCACAGATTGGCCCCTCTTGAAAACATGCCCAAAGTATATGAGTTGAACTTTCACCACCCTTCCCTCTAATGACATCCTCCAGGAAGAAAGCAAAAAAGCTCACTACAATTACAAAAAATAAAAGATTAAAATAGATGCCAGAAAAGAATGAAACCTCCTCTAGAATGTAGTGAGCTCAACATACCCAAAGTATGAGAGAGAGATGCACCATCTTTACCTCCAAAGAGCACCCTTTCTTTAGGACAGACCTGTTTTCAGCCCATGGTGTGTTCAATACTTTTCTCCAGTACCACAAATCAAAGGCATCAAGTATCTTCTGTCATGCTTAGTCATTGTCCAGCTTTCAGATACATACCAAACAATTGAAAAGCCTGAATTTAGTTCACCTTACTCTTTAGACTGACATTGTTGCTCTGGAGAGATCCTTGACAGCAGATTTCCCCAGTGTAATTTATCTTTTGATTTCGTGATTGCTGGTGTGAAGGCTACTGATTGTGGATTCAAGTAAAATGACATCTTTAACATCATTAATCCTATCTCCATCTATCATGATGCCGCTCATTGGCCTCGTGGTGAGTAGTTTTGTTTCATTAGTGTTGAGATGCAATCCATATTGAAGACTACAGTCCTTAATTCTGAAGTAAGCACTTCAAGCCCTCTTCAAGGTTGTGCCATCTGCATAATGCAGGCCATTGGTGAGTCTTTCTCCTCATGAGGAGGAGGAAGTTTATGAGTGTGTGAGAACTGTTCCCTATGAAACATAAGACATAA